CCGCACGCCGGCTCCGTCTCCCCCGGGTCACAGTGGGGGCTCCCTGCCCCGGCGCTCGTCTGTAAGTCGGGGTGACGATGGCACCCGCCTCACGGGCTTCGATGAGGACGATGACTCAGCAGTGCCGGCCCCACGCCTGGGCTGCACCAGCCTCCGTCACCGGCCGACGTGGCTTTACTGCAGTCAGATGTGGGGCTTCCTCTGGTCCGTCCCTCTGCTTCGCTGCTCGGCTGCTCCTGTCCCGACATCAGACCCCCGTGCCTGACCCCGATACCCCCGGGCTCTAGAAGGGCTGTGGCTGGTGCGCAGGGGTCAGGCACCTGGAAGCAGCAGCCTGGAGCCCCGACTGTCAAGAGAGCAGCACTGAGAGCCCCTCTGAGCAGCTGCGGTGGGGACCCCCGGCCCCACCCCGCCGCGGACCCGAGCCGCCTCTGCGAGCTGGAACCCTCCTCCGATGCCTCTCGGCTCCTGGGCTGCGTCCTCGGCCTCCGTGCAGCAGAGCAGGCCGGGAAGGGCCTGCGGGGGACAGTCGGCCACCCCAAGCCACAGCCTCCTCGGGGAGAAGCCCTGCTCCACCCGCGCCCCCAGGACGTGATCGGGTGAAGCCGTGGCAGGGGGCAGGGGACACTGTCCCTACACCCTTCTTGGTGCTCCCTTGCCAAGCTCACTCCTGGACTCTGGTGACGATCATCTAAACACCCTCTAACAGGACTGACGCTCTCAGCACCGCGGCCAGGCCGCTCCGGGGCGAGGAGCGCTGCGCAGTCACGTACCTGACTGCAGGATTCGTCACGGAAAACAGAGGCCGTCATAAGCCCGGCGGAAAAATTAGAAAAAGAGGTCTCACATTCAAATTTCCAAGGCGCTCTCTAGTTACAGTGGAGAAATAAATATCTATTTCCTCCTGACGTTTTACAGAAAAAATAAATCCCAGCTCTATGAAAGAGTTAAGCTTAAAAAAAATCAAGCTGTAAAAATAACAACAAAGATGGATCCTCATCAGATGTCTGCGTGGGAATCTTCGTCTTTTTTTTTTTTTTAATAAAAGCAGTGGAAGAAATGACAGGAAAGACCGACAGACTGAGTTACAAAACAGCAAATTCCCATCCAAAGGATCATAAAATGAAAAGGCAAACAAAAAATTGGGAGATTATCTGAAACAGAAAAAGGGTCAGGAGCCTAAAAAAACACAATAGCTAAATATCCTTATTATGTCTGAAACAACAGAGGAGAAGCAAGGCCCCAGGCCTGGCAGATCAAACACGTCAGTCTGGGGAAGACGCCCTCACAGACGTGTTCTGTGGGACGGGCTCCCGGGCATGAACTGGCAAAACACTCATGTTCGGTCCAGGCTGGCAGGGAACAGAGAACGGCCGTGTTGACCCCGGGCAGGATCTTATCCCTGCAGATGACTAGCCAGGGAAGAGTCCAGGCCAAGCTCACACGAGGACGGATGATGGCTGTCACACAGGTGGTGCCCTTCCGACGTGAAACAACAGTGTGAGCCCAGCTCTCCAAAGGGGACCGGCGGGATCTCCGGTCTGCCTGAGTTCTGGCTCTTCGCCCTGGCCTCACCACGGCCTGCTCTTGGTGGTGGCGGTCACTCACGGGCCACCAGGGACACAGCGAGGGGCCTGGAACACTAACTCTGCCAACTGGCGGGCAGCTGTGGGGTGGTCCTTCTGCCAGGAAAGAAACTGGCACCAAGACCCTCGTGTTCTGATGCCGGGAACCTGCAAGCTGCCCCCTGACGGCCAAGGCTTCCAAGGGGGTTTGACTCCTTAGATCGAGAGGCAGGAAAAGGGAGCCCAGAGAGACGGCTGCTTTGCTCTTCCCTTGGAACGCTGTCAGCGCGCCACAGCGCCCGTGAGACACTCAGGCCAGCCGAGGCGAAACGGCGCCAGCACCTCCCGCTGGCTGGTCCCAGGGAGTCTGGATCGGGTGGGGGTGATGCTACAGACGCGAAAGCCCAAACGTTCTAGGCTCCTTTGAGATTCACTAATGAACCGCAGACACTGGAGATAAATCAAAATGTTTTGTACTTCAAGTCAACCCTGTACCGCGCTAACCTGAGACGTGGAGGATTCGGGTGCCGTGGTTTCCATGGCTGCTTTGCTCTGTGCGGGAATCCACACCTCCGAGGGCCAGCAGTGACCTTCAGGTGACCTTCGTGTGCCCTTGAGCCTTCCCGGCCCAGGGCCACCCCTGGAGCTGAGATGAAGGTGGGGGCACCTAGAAGTCTGTCCCACCTGCAGGGCCCGTTTCCCGACCAGGAGAGCAGGAGGAAGCACACGGTGGAGTACGCTGGTGGACACACTCAGTGCAAAGCAGAGCTACCTTCTGGAAACCACCCACCCCTTCTTGTTCTTTGGGTCGGGCCCACGTCCTCAGGACTTCCAGCCCCGCGCGCCGT